AAAAATATACTATTATTTACCAAAATTAAAACAATAATTTTCCAAATGAACACAATATTAGAACAACGCTATGCTTACAATAGAATATAAAATTATAAATTTATAATTATAATGAAAAATTATATTAATAAATACATATAATATTATATATAAATTTTTAAATAAAAAAATTAAAGTGTTGTGACGGTAAAATGATCCCATTCGAAAACTTTTAAGGAAATACCGAGGGGCCGTGACGATATTCACGTGGTTAATAGTTAATCAACAATGGTAAATTAACCTATTAATGACGGGAATAAGATTTGTTAAAGGTTTTTTTTTTCTTTTTTATTATACATGAGGTTAAATACTAATTTTGATCCTTCAATTTTAAATTTTTTGTAAAATTTTCACTTCTTAACCTTTTTCTACATTTGTTTAGTAAAAATGTATTTTTTATTTATTTTATTAGTTACTTTGTTAAGGCTATTTAAATGTATATATTTTTAGTTCTTTAATTTATAATACATGCATATTTTTCCTACCTCAACTTAAAAATTTAAAAATTAAAAATTTGAATATATGATAAATTTAATGGATTAATTAACAGAAAACAAAAATATATATACTTTTCTTAATTGAAGAATAAAAAAATACATAAAAAAGTCAAAGAATAAAAAATTTTATAAAATTTTAAAATTGAGAAACTAAAATTATCATTTAACCTACACATAATCATCATTTAAAAATGTACGAAAACAACAATATACATTCGTTATTGGTAATGAGAGGATGCAAATACAAAGTTTGTGAGAAAAAAAGGCAATGAGAGGCGAGAAGAAGACGAGGAAATAACATGGCTTGAAGAAATTAAAATTTTGAATATATGATAAATTTAAGGGATTAATTAACAAAAAACCAAAAAAATATACTTTTAATTTATAATTGAAGAATAAAAAAATACATAAAAAAATTGAGGGATCAAAAATTTTATAAAATTTTAAAGTTGAAAAATCAAAATTGCCATTTAACCTACACATAATCATCATTTAAAAATGTACCAAAAGAACAATAGACATTCATTATTGGTAATGAGAGGATGCAAATATAAAGTTTGTGAGACAAAAGGCAATGAGAAGCGAGAAGAAGACGAGGAAATAACACGGCTTGAAGAAGTTGAAGATTGGTAGAAGAGAGATTCAGGCAGCTGTCTGAGGATGAAAAATGATAAGAGGAGGACTCAATTGGTTGGCTTAAAGAGAGAAAGAAATGAGATGGTGATTGGAGTATACTTCAAAAAATAAAATGAAGTCAATTATAGAAGGCAAAACCATAAGTTAAGCCCCTGAATGAACCTCAGAATCGCTATTAAGCCCCTAAACTTTAATTGATACATATAAGCCCTTAAACTCTGGGATCAAAGCAATTAAGCCCTTCTTCTTACGCCAACTTAACTGTCGTTTGGGACTCCGTCGCTTGGCTTAACTGCCGTTTGGGACACACCCGCTTGGCCGCTTGGATGGCAAAATATTCCCATGTCATGCTTATATGACAAGGGATTTGACAGTTGAGCGGGATTTTTGAATTATTTGATCATTTAATTTTTTTTATTTAAATAAAATCATATATTTGGGTAAAAATATTATTTAAATAAA